GGTTTCCACATTTTAGTTTTGTTGTCATAAACTCATTTAGTTAAAAAATTGAGATATGTAAGAAGTTGAGCTTCTGGATATGTTAAATTAGCTTGAAATTATACTATAAAAGTTAACTTTTAATTTTAAACACATGTAAGCACAGTAGTAGCCAATTCATTATCATGAAATAGAACCTTATGTTTACCTTTTAAATAAACTTGTAGATAGACAACTGCTGAATTTCTATTATGTAATTTGTAATGAAATAATCTCTATAATGCTTCAGAAGCTAAAACATATCGAGCATTTAGATAAAGACTTATTTAATTAGAATTTGTAACTTGTTCTTAGTGATTAGTTTGTCTTCTTATTTCTACAGTTGCACAATCATGTTCTTTGTAAACATATTTAAAAAGATATTTTACAGTAGCAATTAAAAAACAAATTTTAATGTTTATATGACAATTATACTTAACTGAAAGATATAGATTATAAGAAACAACCAAATGGTTATCTAAAGTAGTCTTGCATACATCTACAGTTTTACTGATATTTCTTCATTTGTAGATAAGATAACCATTAATATTTATAGAAGTGCCTTCTTGAAAATAATGTGGATAACCTTTTGAGCACTTTTCATTTACTATACATAAAGCATTAAGTAATAAAGCATCACAAGGACCATGCATTATAGATTTTTTTATAGTCTTGAATATTAAAAGATTGTTAATAATATCAGAAATTTCTGCTAATACTATAGAGTCATAATTATCAACTAATTTTGGTTTATATTTATAAGCAAGAACAAAAAAAAATGTGCATGAGGTAAGCTATATTTTTGGAATTCTATAGTATAAACATAGGCTATAATTTTTCTAAATATTTTTTCTTTTAAAATATTGATAAGCAATGCTTTTAATTTCAAGTTAAATATGCAAGCAATTAAATCTAGTCTATTTTGGGCAGTCTGAAAAAAAAAAAACATTAGTAATTTCAGACAATTGTGAATTGCAAGTTATTGTGATAAAAAGATTAGGTTTTTCAAGTACTCTTATAATAGCCATTGTGTCTTAATAAAGTAGATGTATTTAATAAGGCCTTTCTATAAAAGTTGAGAGTAATATTATGCATTGTCTTATATTTTTCATTCTAAATATATTGTTAGCAGTTTGTATGACATCATATAAACTATTATATAATTTGAAATGTATTTGGGGTTGGTTAAATTTCAAAAAGTTATGACATATTTGTTTTATAATAATGTACATATTAACAATTTATTGTTGAAAAAGATGTTCAAATAAATGCAGAAATAGAGGCTTATTTAGATGACCAAGGTAAAGATGATATGTAAAATAATTTATAATAATAACATATTTCTTTATAGAGATTTCATCTTCTTTTTTATTAAGTGTTAAGGCATTGATTTTATCAAAGTTATTAGATGAAGTAGAAAAAGAAACTTGTTGTTAAGATATATATGGATGCCAACTATTTTCACTTCTAGGAAACATAAGAACATAGTGCAAAGGTTGGTAAGCATGATGTAATTCAGATATTCTTTGCAATTCTCTATTATGTAAATGTAGAACAATATCATGTTGCATAGTATTAGTTTCTTGCCCATCTTTAATCATAATAAAGCAACTTTTAAAACACTTAGAGTATTGTAATATCTAGAGTCTTTTGTTCTTTTATTGATGATAACTATTTTCAAGTTAGTAGATAAATTTGAATTTACTATATCACTAACCTGTTTAAATATTCTACAATAAGGATTAATATGATGTAACATTTGCTAAAGTTTAAAAAAATAAAAGGATTAAGTCCAAGCATTATACTTATTCTATTTTGTAATTTATAATCTGTATTATATATATATATCTGAGCAAAATAAGAGTTGTTATTGTTAGAAAGTAAGTTGCCAATGCTGTAATACATTTCATCATTAATGCAAAAACTATAAACACTGCTTGTTTCAGTTATATTATGATCGATTTTTATGCTCATGAATGTAAAAGCTAATGCAAAGTTATATAATCTAATATTTTGACTAAATAAATATGCAGCAGGATCCAGGCTAGTAAGAAGTGCATACAAAGATGCTAGTAGGTCAAGAAATAGAGGGAGCTAAACTTTGTTTTTCACACAACAACTTGTAAAATTAGATAATTTTTTAGATAAGTTTGCTTTTTGTTTATCTAGCTATAAAAGAGTATTACAATATTTGCATTTATGTTGCATAGTGCCTAGATTGTAATAGATGATGTCATATAAAAGTTATAGGTAAATATATGCTTTTAAAAGTCATGCTTGAGGTGAAACAGAAGAAATAAAGGGCATGAACAAAATAGAAATAGAGAATATAGCTTTATTAGTAAATCTAAAATCAAGATTTAAAAAGAAAGAAATTAAAATATTATTATTTTGATTAATATTTATAAACTGGTTAGTTTGCACAAAGTTAGCAGTTTTTTCAGGTTCTTGATTTCTTTCAAAGCTTCAATTTGAAATATTGTTTTAATCAATAAAATTAGAACTGGATGTTGGGTCTTCATGTTCAATTTTTTTTTCTTATTTCAGTACCTTTATTGGCATTCACAGTAAAGTTTTTTACTGCAGTGTTTAGGAGTCTTTACTATATTTTTTTTTATCTTTTTTTAAAAATAAAATTATTTGGAATTTTATAATTATACAAAGTATATTTGAGCTTATATGTATATAATAACAATAAGTAATATTTCAGTAAAGTGAAGCTAAAAAAGTGAAATAATATAATATATATGAAGCATGTGAATTGTAAAATCTTTTTAGAAAAAAATAAACATTGTACCAATATCTAAATAGTTGTATAAATATCTAATTAATAGAAAATCTATATACTATAGTAACATAATACAATAAACACTAGAATTGATAAGTAAGCAAGCAATGATTAACATGATATATGTTACATATACAAAGATAGCAATACATATTAATTAAAAATAATTTATACAAAATAATCTAATTATCATCAACATGTGAAGTGAACAATTTTAATATAATAGATATTGTATTATATAAGTTTAATTTAATTATTAGACCTTGTTTAATAATAAAATAAAATTTAAGCTTTTTGGTTCTTTTTTTTTTGATTTATGTTGCAGAAGTGTAGAGGCTGTTCATAGAATATTATTATCAAATATGCTAGTATAAATGAAACCTTTTAATAGTTATAGTATGTCAACATAATAAAACTACATATTAGATTTAAAAAAACAGTTACTAGAATCTGTAGAAAAAAAAGATAATTTTTTCATTCAGATGATAGTGTTATACTTAAATAGACAATTTAAAATTAATAATTATGCATATAATATTAATTATAAAAAAATTGATTATTAACTAATCAAAATACAAAAGCAAGCTATTGTAAAGTCAATTAATCATAATTGAATTTTTTAAGATGCATATAGATTTTTGGCTAAACTTGATCAATTACTAATTTGAGCTTGGGCAGTTTATGATATGAGACAAGAAATTATACAAAAAATAACTAAAAAAATTCCTATTAGTTTAGTTGATATTAAACTAATTAATTATTTTTGAACCAATTAATAAAGAACCTGACATTACTAATCCAAATATAGTTTTTAATATTGCAATATCTATTGAAAAAGATAGTTAATGGTGAATTACAGATATTTTTAATTATATAATTTCATTATATGTTTAAAAAAATATTTTAGAATTTGTTCTATTTTAAATTTATATATATTAGAAGATAGAAGAAATGTTAGCAAAAAAGTAAAGCACATTATAGTTACTGATGCACTTTTAACTAATTTAGACAAACTGCATAAACCGGAATTACACTATATATTAGTTTTGTTTTCTGGTATGAAAAATTATTTTTTTCTTTAAAATGCACTAGTATAATTAATATTAGATTTATAATTTTTAAGTAAATATGGATTTCATAAAATTGGTAGAAGGCATTAGAATATTAAGATATATTTTAGCTTAGATTAGAAGTTTTTAGTTATATTCTTGAAAATGAATGTAGCAAACCCAATTTTTTTTTGTCTATAGTGTTTTTGCTATAAAAATAATTTAACAAATATTGCAAAATATAATATAATTTCTAAAAATATGCAAAATATCAAAGAATTTTATTCAACATTTAAAGAACATATTCAACCTTCTTTTTTTGATATGATCCCAATTAAGCATTAGATATATGATAGTTTACATGTTATGTTAAGAATAAGTAATTGTTTTTAAAAATTATTTTTATTAGATTTTTAATGTAGTTGTAATGAGTTAAATAAAAATATTCAAAACTTAAATTTTAAATAAGATGAAAAGGTTATGAATTACTTATCATTTTTATATATTGTTAATAGGTTCTAATAAATTAATTATCTTAAAAAATTTTGACTTTACTAAATTTATATCAAATGAATTTTTTTAAAAATGTGGTATTTAACTTCATCAACTTTGAACTAGTTTTTTTGAGCTATATAATATAATAAAATTACTAAAAATAACAGAATTACAATTTAAAATTAAAGCTGAATTATGGTTTAAATTGTTTTTAAAACTATTAGAAAGACAACCAAATTGACCTAACTTTATTTATAACATGTATTATGTAAATATTTCTTGTCTAAATTTTTATTATTTTATTAATATTAATATATATATATAATGGTAATAGTAACTAATATATACTATATAATTTGTTTTATATATAGGCTAGATGCTAGAAAAAGAACTGAAAATGACAAAAAAAAGATCTTTAGAAAATCAATTTTTATATTATAAACCTTATAATAAATTATAAAAAAATGTAAACTTAAAAAAGCTATATTGCAAAACTTTATTAATACAATTACTTTTATATCTTAAGTAAAAAAGAATTCTAATTTAATTTTAAATCAATTTATGTAAAAAAAAACTCTTAAAAAAATTATTATTTTCAGTTCTTTTTCTAGCACCTAGCTTATATGTATAATAATAATTATAAAAGACAGCTAATGCTACTCTTTATATACATGTGTTAGTCTGTCATGTTCATAAGTTGATTAAAATTTCTCATAAATTTGAAATAAATATTTTTAATTGTTTAGCTATTGAAAAAAAAAACATTTTCAAGTTTGTTACTATTTTCAATCTATGCTTAAAGATGGTAGTTATGAAGAACATAAATGATTAAGCATTCTTGAGATATTAGAATATAAAAATCAAAAATTATTTTTTCAACTTTTTGAAATACCAAACTACTTTAAAAAAAGTATATTATTTAGATTAGACAATTAGTTTTTTTGTTTTATTTTGAATTATTTAGTTTTCTAATATAGTTTTAATATAACTGTAAGATTTTTTAATTTTACTTTTATATGTAAGTATATAAATATAGAAGTTATTTTAAATAAAATAAAGTAATAACTCATATTAGTATATTAAATTGAAACAGTATTTTTTTTCTTAATCTGCAAATATAATTTTAGGCACCAAAAGGCATTTTATTAAATTATGTATTGTAAATATAAAAGATTATTAAATTTAGATTTTGATTAATTTATATATAAATTAAATACTTATAGATTTTATATTTAAAAGATATTTTTTTACCACTTAATAAGTAAGCTTTTTTATTTTAATTAAAGGTTTTGCAAACTATATAGATACATATAAGAATATCAATTAATCTTAAATTAAATTAGTTTTTAGTAGTTTCAGTTTATAAATTCAATTTTTACAATAAATTTTAATAATTGTCTGATTTATAGTTTTGGTCTCAGTTTATTATAAAGCTATAAAATCCTAAATATTAATATGTATTTATAAGTTATAATAGATATTATTATTAAAATTATCAGCAATATAATGTTATAGTACCTGCATGATCAAAATCAAAGTTTTTTCTTTTTCAGCATTCTTGGCAATAATAGTATATAATTCTTCTATTAATGAACAATCTTTAGAATATAGGAAAAAAAATGTAAATCTACAAATATTTTCTTCTTTATTAATCATTTCAATTCTTTGTTTTACAATATTTACAGCTTGGCTAGCAGCACCTATCATTACAATAGCAGGTCATCTTAAATATCTGCAAGAAACCATTAATAAATAAATAAAAAATAAATAAGACATAGTTGCTAAAAACATAACTATCTACTTATATTATTCTTTTTAACCTTTTTTTTTTTTTGAGTATTTCAATTGGATTCTTTATTTTCTCAATATTAGGTTTTATATTAGACTTGGCTAGCACATCCAATATTATATATATATCAGTTCCAAAACCTATAACTATCATATGATTAATCTAATTTATAACATCACAAATTAAGAATTAATCAAAACAGTCTTTAAATAACCTGAAGTCAAAATAATAAGCTTTGCTTTATTTTGTTAGTTAAATGTTTGCTTCTTAACTGCATGCTATAAAATTTAAATTAGTATTATTATTAAAATAAACTTTAATATTTTAGCAAATTTTATTTTTTATCCAATTCACATACTGGAGCCAAAATTTAAAAATCATTAGTCATATTCTTCTTATATAATTTAGAAAGTTCAAATATATATATATAAGCATTAAAATAATAAATGATATAAGTTTCTTAGTCTCTATTATAAAATTATATTTTAGAAAACTATATTCAAGCAATTTATAAACTAGCATAAATGTTATATCTACAGGTGCTAGTGAAATTAATTAGAGTAGTGAATATTTTTATCACAATTGATAAAATTGGTAAATTTGTATCAGCATTTTTAATCATATCAGTTTCTGCAATACTGATAATATCACTATTTTGTAATTCAATTGAGCTGTATAGGAGTAGATTCTTTATAACCAATATTTGCAAAAATATATAAACTATATTTGACAATTCAAGTTCTGGTTATGATTTTATAAAATTTGAAATACTATCACTTACAGATTATAAAATATTTGATTATAGCTTATTAAGTTGTTCAATTTGAAACATATCTTTGTTATATTAAAATTTTTTTTGAAAATACACCAATCTCTTTCTTTCATTTATCTTAATGGTTTTTCAGATCAATATCTAATTTTACAATCAAATTAATACATTATAAAATAATAAAATGTTTTATATAAATTAAATATTCTCTTGGATTTAATATTCTTCTCTCTTATTATAAAATTATGCATGGTTTTATTTTTTGTTTTTTATACTATACTTGTAAAATAGTAATGTCCAAACATTTTGTGTATTATGTTTAGTTGTATACAAAAAAAATTAAAATTTTGCAAAATGTTTTCAGCAGCATTTCAATTAAACACATTGTTTTTTATTTATTTTTTGTATTTCTTATTTGTAATAAAGTTAAAATTAGCACTCTCAACTAATAGTTTAAATACAAGCAAATTTGTATCATAATATGGATCTAATTACATACTTATAAAACTCAAATTTTTGTATATTCAAAAACATTTATTAAAATATAAATTTTCATATGCATATGCATTTTAAATACATATAAAAATCCAAGATCAAAAACAAACAATTATTCTAAAACTGACCTTGATCAACTACAAATCTAAATGTTATCTCTTTACTTTCACAACAATGTTCTGCTTTGTTACTAAATTCTTTAATTTGTCATTTAATTAATAATCCTTTTTCTAAATAAGAATTTTTTTGTATTTTTTTTTGTTTCTTTAATTTTATTTAACTCATTATTATATAGTTTGACCTATTATAATTGTTTATTTCTATAATTTCTTTTTGCCTATTGATTATCTCTAAGTATTACTGCTAATTGATCAATTGCTTTTTTACTATTAAAGAAATATTTATATCAGCTTCTACAAACAGAATACTAAGTTAAATATTACTTAAAAATTTTAACAAAACTATTTTTACTGCAATAAATTGAAAAAAATTGCTTTTCTCTTTGTAAATAATGATTTTTTAATTATTTTTGTAATTCTTTCACTATTATATTTTTGATGTAGTTTAACTCATATTCAGGAACTAGTAAAATATATTTTGAAATTTTTTAATAATTACTATATTTTAAAGTTTCATATCATTGCAAATCAGCTTTTGATTTAAAAGTTTTTTTGTTATTACAAAATATATAACAAACTTGAGTCAAAGTATTTGTAGTAAACATTTTTAAATTCTTAAAAATTAATATTATAATAAATATAAAATATATATATATAAAGTTAGTTTTAAAGACTTTTTAAGTAGTAAATGCTAACTATAATATATATCTATAGTTTGAAAGATTGATTGATACATGAACAATTGATTAAACATTAATAATATATAATAAAATTATGTATGTCAGCTGATTTGATTATAATTTTAAAGTGTTTTGTTGATTAGATAATAGTCAAATATTTTAAAATTAGGGTCTATTCTTATTAAAAATTAGACTCTAAAAATTAAATCAGTGAATATGTATTATAAAAGCTAGACCTAGAAAATAGATACTAATATAATACTAATATAAAAAAATTAAATAAATAAAAACCTTTAAATAAAAGATATTACTAATTAGACTGTTAGATTAAATTAGAAAAAAAGAATATTAGATTAAACTCAATATACTAGAAACAAGTTATAGTTTTTTAAACTATCTAAATTAAGAGTCTAAGAACAAAGCAGAGGCATACTAAAATACTAAAGATATAAAGTAGATATTCAGATATAAGTAAACTTTATAAAATCAAGTTCTTGTTAATAATTTGTAAAATAAGTAGATAATTAACAAAAAAGATTATCTAAGCCTTATTAGTAAGTGTTATATTCTGAAATATATAATAGTCTAAGCATTAGTTTAAAAAAAGATATTGTACTGCTTAGACAGTATACTAATTAAGTATATATAAAGGTTTATAATAATTAAATAATTAATAAAACAAATGATTAGAAGGTTTAAATGAATAATCTCTTAGTAGATCATAAATATGATATCTAATATAGAACCTTAAAACAGACTATTTAAATAAGCAACTAAAACTTGCATATATAACTAGCTATACTTTCATCTCTGTAAAAATAATTGTAATACTAATTTTAATATATATTAAATTTTTTTTTTTGGTATTAAGGTGACCTCTTTGGTCTTTTGACTTTTATTAATTACTTATTGGTATTATAGTTTAATGAACTACTACAGAAGAGCATACAATTGGCTACATGTGTAACTTTTCTATATTACCTATTTAAGAAATCTGCTCAAAGGTTTTTCACTAATTGGTATACCTAATACTTCTGCTTAGATGTTCTATTTTAAACCCTCTGAACCTATAACTTGTATTAATATTACTAGAT